TTCAATCTTTTGAAGATTAAGTTTTAAAATAATTGCTAAAAAAATAAAATTCATATGCTAGTAGGATGATATAATGAGACTCTTTCTTAGCTAAAGATTAACTATAAAGTTCCTTTTTTTTTGCTTCCTTTTTAGTTGCCACATGTGCCAAGCACACCTACGAGAATGATGGAAAAATGCATCTTCTTTTAAATCTTAATACTTCTTTTGATGAATTATTTTCTATTGTTTAAGGGGGGGTTATGTTTTGTGAGATTTTGAATCATGAAAACTTCTTCTACTCCTTCATCCAACAAGAGCATATTTAAGGTTTTATTCTTTCTTGAGTGTTGCTAGTTTGAGTGGTGTTGTAACATTGAGCTTAAGGAACTTAAAGCTATATTACTATTAAATGGGCACAACAAAGATGTTTGGTTAAGTAATTTTTCCCCCTTTAAATACTCAGACTGTTGATGGATCGCTTTTTAATTTCTTAATTGTTTTATCAAAATGATAACCAAATTGAAGTGTTAGAGAAGTTAAGAATTACTATTAAAATTTCTACCGGCAATTCCGTAGCAACTTTGCAAAATGATCTACAATATATGCAGCATCTGAATGACAATATAGCTCAATTCTTGTTATAGTTATGCTAATTATAAATTTGCAGGGGGCATTTACATAACAAGACTTGAAATTTATACATGATAATATGTGGGACGCCTTGTATCTATAGGGATCATTGAAACAACTCTTAGGAGGAAACAAAATATTTGCTAGTCATTGAATAGCGAGAAAAATTATGACATAGAAGAGAATAAAAAGGGTGCATGCATCAATTCCACCTGCCGCAGTTTCCCCATAACAACTTTCTAGGACAGCGCAGCTGCAGCAGAGAAGCTTAAAAGCTACAGCTGACCCATAGTTGACACCAAACCTTAATGTATACTATACAAATTATAATTTTTTTTCAACTCAAATCTAAAAGTATATTTGAGGATTACTGACAGCATAATTTTTCATAGAGTTTTTGGACGATTATTATGCGTCCAAGTTTGTGGTCATTAATAAAAACAAAAAGAGCTTAATTTTTGCATTTTGCGTGATTTTTAGTGATGATCATATTGCATTATTTTATTTACATTTAAAAACGGTTAAAAGATTCATGTCTTCCAGGACCTCCTAGACTCAATGGAAAATGTTCAAGGCCAAAGATAGACTGTCGTAACATCCATAAAGCTCCACTTCCTTTCTCAAACGCCCTCCAATCAAAATCTCAACCATCCATATGTACATACATACATAGATATATATATATATATATATAGATAGATAGATAGATAGATAGATAGATAGATATATCCATCAATGTATATAGATATGTGTGTGTATGTGTATTTATGTATGTATGGTAATATTAAAACCCCTTTCAAAAGACAACATTTTCTAATTCTCTAAAAATTTCAACTCAAACGAGAAACAGCTACTTTGGAACAACATTATTGTCCTAAAACAAAGTAAAACATATTACCAATCAATCCCTAAGAATTTTCAAAACCAAACAAGAAGTTCAGAGAGACCAATTATATATTTGAACTTTCCAGCAATGAAGCGATCAAGTCTTTTCAACAATCAAAACACCTTTATTCTGTAAAGCTGCAGCCTCCACTGCCTGCCTAATCCTTTTATTTCCTTTCATGCAAGTTTCATTAGTTGCTAGCTCACTTTATATGAGGGGAAAAATTTTATGTAAAATAAAAGGGGATTTTGTAACAGCAGAGTGATTTGTTATGACTAATCATTCATCTCATCCTCTCTGACCTTTCTTCTCGGACAATGATTCAAGTATCATGGATTCCCACTAGCAAGAGAATGGCATCTAATTTCAAATCTTTTTGGGTCCCCATCACAATCCTAATTTTTTTTTTTCAATTTAAGGACATCTGTGGCCTTGGCTCTCCCCTTAGTCTTGTAGGCTGATATGGATGAAAGATTTAGTGGAACCTTCACTTCGAAGGCCAGAAAAAGCAATGTGATGTGTTAACCGCCACGTAATATACAAGTACATAGTGGTCACGAAAAGTTCAGAAGTTTAAATTGCGTTTGTCAGAGATAATACAACTTTTCATGCATAGGTAATGTGGTATGCAAGTAAAAATTTGTATGTCAGAAATGCGTCAACATAAATCTTGAGAAAATTCAATGAAATAAGAAATAAAAGTGCAGTTAAAGATGTCTTACAGAAAAAGATCAAGGGTCACGTCAATGGAAGACTGAAATGACCTGATTGACCAAGTATAGCTCCCTTAGAGCAAGGTCTAAAACCGGCCGAACGAAGAACACCTAAGTTAAAGATCAAGATCCATTGAAAAGAGAGAAGACATCAACTTAACCCTTGTACCCATATCGCGAGCCACCTCATAAGAGTCCCCAAGACTTTTCAGGAGGCCTAAGGTTCTCATCACTACACACGTCATGAACACTACAAATGGATCTCCTGTCAAGGGATAGGTTACCTATCGGATTACGATAGTTCACTCTCTTTGACATGAGCTTCTCATCTAGAGGCAACAACAGATAGCAAAACCAAAGAGGCCTATCAGTTGACTTAAGCCGACCAAGCGAAGTTCATACGATTGAAAGATAATCAGAGCCGACCGGCTACCACAACTCAACAATGTTGGTACAGCGGGCATTGTCGACCCAAGGACTATTAATCTCAATCAGCCAACTGATATAGTCGAACCATAGACTCATTTCTTTTTTATACCAAAAACACCTCATAATGCCCCCGTAAAAGAAGGGACAAGCATGTAATTGTACACTTCATACCCACTTGCCTATAAATATGGAGGTCATTTCTATACTAAGGGGTTAACCAGTCATTTATAAAAGAACAAGTTCTTTACTGTGCACTCTTTTTTGCTCACTTCTGTTTTACACTCTATTCCTTGGGTGTGATTCACAGGATAGATTCAGATTCAACAAAATTGAAGTTTAAGTGTTAGATGTGTAAAAATATTGGAAATAAGTGGTATGTAGATCTTCCTACAAACTATACTAATTGAAATCATTTCTGCTCGCATAACTGATAGAAGAATATGGCTCTTAAGCATCGGACATTATACATATTTAAAGGCTTGGAATAACTGCAGTTTTCTTTTAATATCTTTTAATTACTCCCACAACCAGCTAATTGATGCAGAGGACAAGTACTTTCCAGCAAATATGAAGCACCGCTTTACAAATCATGTCTCCTTTCCCTTTTTGCTAGTAAGCAAGATTTAGCTAATAAGTTTTTTTTTTAATTTGATAGAATGACAACACGAATGATCAACACAACCTTTTAATTTTTATTGGAATTTAGCAAAGTACATTTTTCATTGCTTTAATGGGAAATTTTATTACAAAGTTACAAAGGATCAAAATTAGCTCAGCTAGGTGCGAATTCACGATAGAAATTGCTCTGTGCATTTATATAATTACACGGATTAAATCAGGTATTAGCTGAAAGCATTTACCCTTATGCCCTGGGAAAGAGGGCAGTTCTTTGACGAGCTATGTTTTGTTCATGCAAATAGATTTTTTTTCTTAACTTTTATATTTTAGTTTTTTGAAAACTCAAAAAATTTAGAATTTTTAGTTTGAAAATCTTGCCTTCTCATGGATCTGTTTATTTTTCTCCTCTTAGTCTTGATCACAGTTAAAAAACTTGCACACACACACACAAATAACAAGACCTTTCTATGGACGAGATGTTCGGACCGGACAACAAATTATTTTAATTTCATGGTTAAGAGAATATGAGGAATCTCTTTTAAGAAGTATAATCTTCTGCAAAATTGTACTATTTTCTAACTTGGACTTGAGATCTGACTACTGACAATTTCAAATGAAAGAGCAAGATATTATTTTAGATAAAAATCAATTACAATGATTTTTAGGTGTATTAGATTATGTTGCACATTTTTACAAAAATCTTGCCATTAATGGTGCACTATTATTCAATAAATTAAGATAAAAATCTTTACCATGGTCCCCCGATCATATATAAGCAGTAAAAAGGAAAAAAAATAGATAGTCAAATAATTTAGTTTGTTTAAATTTAGCTCATCCAATTATTTTAAGATTATAAAAAATAGATCCTCTAGCATCAACTATTGTAGAATTCTTGCAGAAAAAAAAAAAACATCAAATAAAGATAAATAAACACAATTTACTTCCGATAAATAAAATATAACTCATGAAAAATATGCTGCAATTAAAAAGGAAATATTATCTATAATTAAATATATTTCAAAATCTCAAAAAGATCTACTTAACAAAAATTTTATTACAAATAAAATAAATCTATCATAACTAAAGACGTAAAAAAAGCAGAGTTTGTTCAAGAATATAAAAAACATATGAGATAATTATTGATAGTTCAGAAGAAAAAAATAAAGATGAATTGATGGGTGACTTCCAAGATGAATTGAAGTGAAACCAAATTAAAATTTTATCACAAAAGTGATATTTTAGGCAACAAGTTAAGGATAATATCAGTATTTGTATCAGTCTACCTTTATTTTAAAGGAAGATGCTTAACATCAATTTTCACTTTGTTTAATGCCCACGTTTTTTTTATATTTTTCCAACTTTTAAAAAGAAATTCCTCCTAATCTCTTAATAATGTAAGTTTGATAATTCGGAGTCTGGACCAATCTTCCCTTATATAAAAGTATTGTTATTTGCGTGAGTGCAAGTTTTTATGGGAGGCCTTTCAACTCTACAAGTGTAATAACAGAAATTAAATACTAAAAAAGAAATAAAAAAAAAATAAATAAAAGATAATAAGAAGTGCAGCATAATAAATAAATAAATGATAATAAGAAGTGCAGCCGTTTGGAGATACATCCCCTCGGATGGACATATTTCTCTCCTTCGATAGTCTACTCATTCTTATAATCGAGTGAGAGCGACAAAGAAGAGAAAGGAAAAGGAAGGGGAGAATTTCGTGCATGTGGAAGGAATCGAGCGGCTCGACACTATGCTGGTAGAGGAGGCAGCAGTGTCGTTCGCGTGCGCTTCCCTGGATTGTGCCGTACAAAGGAAGGAGAGGGAAGAGGTGGTGTCGAGGGCTTACCTAGACCAAGTTGAAGTCAAAAAAAAGAAAACAGGAAGTTGTGCTCGTGTGCGTGTGGAGGAAGAGAAGGAAGGAGGGGTGGTGGCATGCTTTGGGTCAAAGTTGAGCAAGGGAGGAGGTCGACTATGCTCGCATAACAGATTAAGGAGAGTCTGTGACAAGAAGGGATCGAAGGAAGGAGGAAGGCAGGCTCGCGTGGTTGAGCATGGGTTAGGCAGAGCCGAGTATAGGTAAAGTGTTATATTTAATTAAGTTAATTATTATATTATTTTATATGTATGGAAGTGATTATGGGTTTAATTAAATAGATGTTAATAGAAAGTTATTTGAATCAGGATCGAAGTTATTTAATTTTCAAATTTTAAGGGAGGAGTAACACGAATTTCATGTGAGAGAGAAAACAAAGAATGTCAGCACCGAAAAGATTTTAAGGTACGTTGGATTTTCATTAAATTAATTAATAAATTATTTATATGTGTGAGGGTATGTTTAATTAAAGCAAAGTTTTATTGAAGCAGAGCTCTGAATATAGAGATTTCAGCTTTGAATGAGGTTTACGAAGCAAGCAAGGGGAAGAGATCAACTTGAAAGCCTGTAAGGTAAATGTTAAACCTAATATTATTAATCAAATTAATGGAGTAGTTAGTTAAATTTATTTAGATTGGAAGGTGTGAAGAATTCGATAAATCATTCGGATTTGAGGAAAACAAAAATCCTAAAGCTAAAAGAGGTGAGTGTTTTAATAATTATTTTATATTTAAATAAGATTTTTTTAGGATGTAATCCTTGTATGCACATTTCATGGGTTTAGGAGCTAAGAAGGGAAGTGAAGGGTTAATTTACCTTAGAGGCCTCTTAATATTAAGGTGAGTAATTATTTTTTTATATGTATTAAATTTAAATTTTATTTAATAAAAATTTTCTTTAATGCTTTAGACAATTATGTTTGTATGTGTGTTATAGTTTAAGAATGAAAAGGAAAAGGGGAAAAAGAATGTAATTTAAATGAAATTAAATGAAATTTAAATGCTTAATTCATACAGGATTATCCCAGATGGTACTGGCATGAGATGTAATGTACCTGTGCACGTTAAAAGAAATGGTAAAGATGCTCCTTCGGAAGCAATGTGAGAGTACATTCGTGTACATTTTTTAGGGTGTCTTCGGACACATTTTTTAGGATGTTTTCAGGTGTACAATAATCTTGTGATGACAATTAAAGAAGTTAAATTAATAAATACTTAAAGTGAAAAGAAAAGAGAAAATTTTAAAGTTATAATAAAATTAAGAGCATTTCTTTTGGTCATTTAGGTATAGCATAACATGCATATTAGACTATAATTACTCACTAACTCAAACTTACAGTCGAAGTTATTTTTTTTTTCAAGAGAAGAAAAATTTTAGGCGTTATGTCTAGTATAAAAGACTTGGTTTACAGGAAAAGGATCACTGCTCCTAATAGGTATTAGTTTATGATATGATTTTAGTTTCTTTTATTATTTGCTTCTGTATAGAGACAATTTTCGATTATGATGTTTTTTTATGGTTAAAATTTTATGTTAATTTGCGGATTAGTGACTCATTTACATATATTGGAGCTTTCTTAAATTAAAAAAAAAAGTATAATTTTAATATCGTCCGATCGCAGTTCCCGTTTTAGTTAATTCTAAACATCGGGTCGGGTCGTGAAAACAAGCATTGTATTTCAATCATACCATTAGATATTTCTACTATTAATAAAAGTATCATCTGCAGTATTCATGGTCTATTTTTTTCTACAATTTTAATTTTTCTAGTTATAATTGGAGCATAATTAGAAATATGGTTAGAAATAAATCAAGGAGACCTATAATTCATTAGTCGAAGATTCTTCAAATATGAGATATATCAAGCACAATTTGATGTTTATTTTTTCACATGTCAAATCCACTGAAGTTGATCATGGACTTTTAATATTGGAAAAAAAAATGCTCAAGTCATCACTGCCTTCAACAAAAAACTTTATTTGAATGGTGATCCCACATCAATGTTGCCAAAAAAGTGAAAACATCCAGATGATTATCAAAACTCATGAATACATTACAATTGGTGTTATGAAAATTAATGAGGATGTGTCATCAATTAAGAGTATTCAGGACAATTTAAAAAAACTTTTGTCTCTTGAAACAAGCAAGAATACAAAATAAATAAATAAATAAAAATGAAAGAATTATTTGAAAGTCCAGGTCAAAAATAAATAAATAGATAAAGAAGATGGAATTGATGGGTGACTTTGAAGACAAGGCCGGGTGGGCCCAAATTGAAAAACTATTAGGAAAGTGATATTTATACAGCAAGATAGGAATAATATCAATACCACAGGCAGCCTGCCTTTGTGTCACTTTGTCCACTCTTTTTTTAATATTATTTTTTTTACTTTTCAAAAAAGATTCTCCCAATTAATTATTTAAGTTTGATTATTTGGAGTCCAGTCCTACTTTCCCTTATCCATATAAAGAAAGTCTTGTTGTTTGTGCCTATGGGTGTGCAAGTTTTTCTGGGTCTCTTTTTGAGTCTACAAGCATTGTCCGAGTCCTTT